GAGTAACAAACATCCATCCATACATACAAACTTTCGGCTTTATAATATTAGTAAGGATATGAAATTTTAGATAGATTTAATGATGTAAATATTAGATCAATAAACTGTATGATATTTTAATTTGACTTAATATCTAAACATTATAAGTTGTTAAAACTACTTGATAAATGCGACACATTTTTTGTTAGGGTGTTGGATCCCTTTTACGTCGTAACGGACGAGCTGATTTAAATGAAATGATTTGGAAGAGAGATATGTTCTACAAAGGTCTTACTCACAGGATTTGCCTTTGATCCCTATAAAATTCATCTTATTATTTATCATGTTGAAGTTAGATAAAAATTTTTGCAGTCAGATAAATCCTTATATGTATACAAAAAATAAAATTGAACTAATGTTCAACTTTTTGAGAGTGAGTTAAAAAATGTTAAATGTTAAATGTTAAATGTTGATTGATTGAATATTGTATGTTATACGCCATGGTAAAAAAAATACATTAAAAATAACATTTACGTAAAAAATGTTTGTATGCATAAATATTTTTTAATAATGGAGACATAGATTTTACGAGGACGTAGTAGCAGGTGGCAGCAAGAGTGTATAAAAATAACGGTGCGTCCCCTAAGTATTCATAATTTTTTTGTATAAAGTAGAGGATAATATTATTTTACTAAGCACTATCTCAAAATACACCTCATTAAAAAGTCAGGATCGTGAAACATTCTTGTAAATTTAATATGTAAGTAAATTTGAAGCGTATAGTAAATCTGTTTTTAATATTTTATAAAAACTTATTCACCGTACTTGTTAAGCAGAGAGTTTCATATTCGTTTTGAAATTGAATTTTGAATGTTCTACTCACTTATTTCGTGTGTTCTTCGCCGATCCACATAATAGATATGCCTCTACATGAGTATTACATAATTACTACCTATTTTACGTTCATAGACACCTTTGTATTTTTTTTATGGAGAAAAGGGGCAAACGAGCAGGAGGCTCACCTGATGGTAAGTGATTACCGCCGCCCATGAACATCTGCAACACCCGAGGGCTCACAAATGCATTGCCGGCCTTATAAGAAAGAGTACGCTCTCTTTTTGAAGGTTCCCAGGTCGTAACGGTTCGGAAAGTGAGAAGAAAGAAGAAAGAAGAAAGAAGAAGTGGTTGTGCGAGGCAAGAAATGTAACATAAAAAGCTTTGAATCATTTAGAGGTTTCCATCCATTTCTTTTGCGAAAGTAGAAACGATATAACGTACCGGTAAAGAATCTTTCCTGATAGAAAGACGAGAAAGTCCTATGGTAAGTCAAGCTGCTGCTGTAAAATATAGCTTGATTCTGAATAAATTCTGTTGAGACTTATAGATAAATGATTTGAAATAATTCGCCTAAATTCAATAGACGATGTGAATTCATAGTTCTGATAATTACATTTTAGAGTGTGCGAATAAATTATATATTTTAGTTCTTTGATGACTTAGTAAGAGCAATTATAAAGCTATTGGTTTCGGCGCCTGAGGTTGTGGGTTCGATTCCCACTCGGGACAAGTATTTGTGTTGACTTGTCTAAGTGAATTCACATTAAGTTTTTCTTACCGGTACTTACATGAAAAGACACCAAAAAATTTAGATTACTAAAAGGTAACGATTGTTCCATAGTTTCTGTTGTATGACATAAGTGTGCAATATTATATTTTGTTACAACTTTCCTGTGATCATCTTCTAAAGGTTGTCATCGATAAGATAATGATGTTCCTTGTTATAGTGGGAAATATATAAAGAGATCAAACCTTTGGGTAGAAACGTATAAAATAAATAAAAGCCATCGTGTAGAGATCAAAGGTAATAAACACATCTAAAAATGATGTGGATGCTTTTTTGTTGTGGAATGATAAATTTAAGCTATTTACTTCGTGGTCAGCTGCCACGCACTTACACACACGCTTACGCTGGATAGCTTTTACGGTGGTAGGGCCACGCAGCAGCCTCGGCTGTTGCACGAATGGGCAGGCCCGTCCGGGTAAGTACCACGACCTCACAGAAGACCAGCGTAAAGTGGAAGTATGACAAATACTTTCGCGTTTCGTCTGGTGAGTGAGGTAGCCGGAGCCCAATTTTCAAAAAGTTGTCAACGCATCTGTAACCCTCGGGTGTAGCAGATGTCCATGGGCGGCATTCACTTAACATCAGGTAAAAAATAGTAAAAAAATAGCGACCACGCTGCTATTTATCCTTTCAGTGTACCTCGATATGTATTGTTATTGATGCATCTAATTTGGCTCTGCTGTAGTATCTTCAGTCAGCGCAATATTATTTTGTGTTTACTAACAAAATCAATTTTAAAGTTAATAACTCTGTTCCGTACTTTCGTATTGGCATATTATGTTATCATAGAGAGTCATTTCCTTTGATACATGCATTGGCTTAGCTATACTCTGTGTGAATATATCGAAGCATTCACTTATTACTTGGTATTTCTGTGGTAGGGTCACGAAAGAGATTTTGCTGTTGCAAAAATGGGCAGGCGCGTCCGGGGACGTACCACGGTCTCACAGTAGACTGACGTGAAGTGGGAGCAAGTGTATTTAGCTTTCGCGTTCCTTCTAGTGAGTGGATTCCACTTTTTTAAAGGTCGTCAAAACATCTGCTAGCCCTCGGGAGTTGTACATGTCCATTCGGCATTCACTTAAAAATAGGCGAACGCCTCGCGTCACAACTCTTCACCTAAAAAAATGGCATGATGTCGCTGGTAACACGGATGTAGAAAAAAAAGGAACTTTTGAAAGTAATATGCTTAAAATGTGTTTTTTAATGAATATGCAATGTGTTTTTGCGGTTTTAGCCCCGTTACTAGCTTGAGATAAAAAAGTCCAACTCGTGAAACATTTCAAGCTCTATTTCGCTTACAAGAACTAATCAAGCGTAAGTGCTTTGAGTGGAATGCTCTGCGCCCTAACGACCTATTTGACTGTGATTTGCTAAGTAAACCATAGCGGTTTGGGCGTGGAACTTTATTAAATGAAAGAGAAATGTTCTGTTTATTATAACTAGCTTTACATTCGCTGTTATTAGCTTCACCTACATGTGTTTCCATATAAACTCTAATGTATTTGTGTTGACGACCTGATTGGCGTAGTGGGTAGTGAGCCTGCCTCTCGCGTCTGATGATATGGGTTCGATCCCAGCTACTGGAGAAATATTGTGTGATGAACATAGTGTGTGTGCGTTTATATACGCATAATTTGTATTTATTTATAAAGGAAATGTGTTTTTAAGTATGCTTATCAGTTATCTAGTAGGTACATGGTACAAGCGTTGCTTAGTTTGGGACTGGAGAAAGTTGTGTGAAAATGTGTTCTAAAAATATTGCATTTGCACTAATGGTTAAACCAACGGATATGAATAATTTAATAAACAATTTTGGTTCACTTTCACTTATTTGTTAGTGATGACAATGTAAAAGCTTCGTACGAATATGCTTACCAAATATGTCGTGTGTTCTTGGCCAATAGGGCTATACTGGCTATCAATAGAGAGCCGTGATAGCTCAATGTCCGGGCGCTCGATTTAATTAATTATGCTGGAGCAGCTACCCCTACCTCAAAAGCAGGGAACAGTTGTGACTCTTACGATGTTGCAAGTGTCCATGGGCGCCGGTGAATGCTTAAAAAGAACAAAGCAACCTAAGTTCAAATCACCGTGCCAAATGAAATTATTAACAAGTACATACCATATAATTACAATATAAAAAAATACTGCCCAAGTGAGAAACGGACGTGTCTGCGCACGAAGGGTTCCGTACCATTATCTATAAAAACGGCAAAAAAATATAATGTCTGTTGTATTTGTATTAAATATTTTCTTACTCTGTATATCTGTGTTTTTTAAGTACCGTAAAAATCCAATGAAATTGAAAATGTTTTATGCTGACTTATCACGTGCTGGTCGTTGTAATAAAACATCATGCTCGAAATCTGAATGTTATAGAAAATATAACAAAAATCAAATATAAGTGAAGTCTGCCAATATGCAGTGGACTTACGTGGTGGACTATGTACTTGTAAGGTATAGTCTACGATGACGTACAGAGGATAACTTTGCCCAACAATGGGACGTGTATAGGGCTGATAATTTATTTTTTAATTTTACCCTATCGACACTTCCCCAAAAGGTTAAGTTTTAGAAAAAAAAAAAAACGTTTTCATAAATATTTAACAAATCAAGGCCTGAAAATATTGCGCACAGCTTATTTATAGTTTATTTAATTTGACAGTTTAATTAACAACGGCGCTCCTTTGCGTTTCAGCCGAATCCATTAGTAAATTGGTGCGCTCCGTACCTATGTGGTTTATTTAATTGACTATTCGTATGCCGCTTTGTTGTGAATCTTTAGATTAAAATTAAGTATATTATAACTATGAAATAAACTGTACTTTGTTAAAATTAAGGGATTTTATTTATAATTTGGAGCATTAGCAAGCCATTGTATTTTGTATTAAACTTTAATTATATTACAGAAGCGATATTTATTTTTGTAATTATAATATATTAATTTTTATTACTAATGACTATGTTAAGGCATTCTATCTACGATTTATTTAGATTTAATTGAGAAAAATTAATGCATTTTAAGCAAAATTAGCTAGATATGAAATAGAATCCCTACTCTGTGAGGATATCACCAGGTAAAGACGGAGCCCAATGGCACTTGAAAAGCAATAACTTTGTTTATTTGAAAATAATCAATATTATTTATCTCCGTCCAATGACCTCATTTCTATAACCTCATTTGTATCAACAGGTTTTCTTTTCCCCGCACCCTTTACGAAAAATACGTTGTGTATATTTTTAGCTTACTGCGAGATAAAAGACCGGTCTATTGTTGATCCATAGCAATATTTACTCTCATAGATTGGTTTCTTTTCAGATGTCAAGACACAATTGACTCGACGCGCCGTAACCTGACGCGCGAACACGGGAATTCGCAAATCAATCAATACATATGAAGCGAAAATTATGTGTGACATCGCCTTTCATCTGTGAAGACGACATGGAGGAGCTGAATGTGGTGGGCTACTTCAAACAGAATCCCGTTTCGCTAAGACTCTTCTTCTTAGAATCGAAAAATAGTTCATCCCAATCAATACAGCATTGTTGACCAATGTGATGTAATCAAGTCATATTAAATAACACGTGTTATTAATGAAATAAATAATAGCAATGCCAGTCATTGCTTAGAAATCACAATTTGAAATGCGTGGTTCAGAAAATTGAATTGAAACAAAATGAAAAATTTAATTTCGATAACAGAATGTCATCAAAACCGTTTTACTATTTTCTATCGAAGTAAATAATTTCTATTCAAATTCTCACAATCGATGAACTTCTCTTATTTTGTTGTTTAGTTTATTCGTTCTCGCTTTACTCTTCTAGTATTTGTATTGCAGGCAGCCCTGTCGCAACGTAAAGAGTCAGTGGCCCCCCTTACGGGAGAAAGGGATGGAGCGGTTTACCGACGTGGCTTTTTTTACCCACTGGCTATAGTACTGAGACTTCGAGTGTTGCAGGTTTTTATATTTATTTTCCATTAGTCATAATATCTAAGGTTCAGGAAAATATACTTGAGGGAGGTGGAAAAGGGTTTAAAGGTAGCTCCAAGCTACCATCGGACGGTGATTATAACCAGTGACCTTTATGAGGTTGTACACATTATTATATACCACCAAAAAGTAATAAAATCCCTTCCAGCTACATCTGTTTGCTGGTCAATATTTTTACATGAACCGGCATTCCAAAGGATATTAAACCGGTAATACCCCTAATTAGCCTCCTCACCTACCTACAAAAACTATACGAAAGAATAACTCTACCCACTTTGTAAGACTAAATATACCAATCCCATTCCGATACAGTAGGTTAGTTTTCGAGTAATATTTGAAGGAAACCTGTTTGCTCTCACGGTTTTTGCACACGATTGAAAATGGGTAAGCTACCTGCCTGTGACACCATCCACCTAACAAGCTTCGTCAATCGCCATAGTTTTGAAGACTGTAAGGGTTCGGAACCATGCTACAATCAGCTTCATGCTACGCCTAGTCCACTTCCCTGAGCTAGTCGCAACATGCAGAAATAACTCTTAGAATATCTAATGCTGCAGTATAGAAAGGACAAATGATTGCTTTAGGGTTCAAACTCAATGCCGATGCATGTTTTCTACTAAAATAAATTAGGATATGAAGCTGCCTACGTTGTAGAATGATCTTATAATTTTACGAACTGAGGAATACCCCAGGGAGTTCGTGAAATAATAAAATCATTCCTTATAATTAAGGTCTGCCTGCTTTTTGTTTTTAAATAATTATATAATTGCAGATAGTCTGTGGGATATCAGCCATGGTGATGGGCAGCGTAGCTTTCATAGAGGAACGTCAGAAGTTTAACATGGGACTTGGAATTCCAGCTGGTTGCGTTAGCGTTGTCGCTGCGGGTAAGATTATGAAAGTCTCAGTATAAGAATTTTGATAATTGATAATTCTTATGTTAATGAAAATATTTGATATAAGATTTACAATATAGTCCGTTACATAGCCTTCAATGTAGTGCAAGGTTTTAAAGGATACTCCGTTACAGTCAGAAAAATCGATTTATTGGTATCTAATTCTACTTGTGTTTTTGTTTATTGTTGTACTGGCATTTTTTATACATTATATATTTGTTTTGTCCACGATTTATTTCCTTCTTGACTGTGATGTTTTGTTTGGAAGCTTACCCTTTTCAAGGGTGAACTGCATATCCTTTCTACCTTTCTGTCTACGGTTTCTTACCTTTTACTACCCTTTCTGATGTACCAGACGTCTAGCTAAACGAATTATTGTTTGTCTCGTTTGTTTATAAAATATATGTTTTTAATTTTATCATTCACTGTTGGTTTGAGGCCTTTACAGATCCATCGGTCTTGAGGTGACAGGGCGCTGAGGGCTCGCGATGGAGCCCCAGCTCCAAGCCTGCCAAGCTATAAAAGAAACTGCTCTCTTTCTAGCTGTATCAATACACACTTCGAGAGGTTGGAGCACGATGAATGCTACAGTTGTAGGGGCAGGTGCTGCTAGTGTTCTTTGGGCGGCTGCGGGTGTTTTATTACTCGCCCTGATGGTACAATGCTGCAGAACAATTTTGGATCCACCGGGTTTCGATTATAGGTAACTATCGTTCACAATTCTCACATAATACATACCCAATATCACAAAATTTAATATGAAGTAAAACATCTAGCGTATTAGTGACGCATAATTGGGATGGTCCTTGACAGGAATTCAAGAATGTTTCAAAAATAAAAAGAATAAATTGTTATAACACGTTTACATCAAAGAAGTACTACACAGTAATCTTACATTGTTTAATAAACACCAGATTCGCATGGACTTAGTTACTAATATATTATAAAAGCATTTTAGTAACACCTACTGTTTAAATGTACCACACACGTATTGAGTAATTGTGAAAATACCAGTGTAAGTAAACATAAGCCAATCCTATTTAATTAGCGATAGTTATGGAGCTCTGCTAAGTTTGTGTAAACTTAATCGCAGTCAATTGCTAGGCCCGTTCAGTGAAAAGAAATATAAATGCCGTCGGTCAATCTACCGAGCAGGAGAAAATAGATGATTTTAAATAAGCGTTAAAAATATTTCGTGTATTTTTCTTTATGTATAAGCAGAAGTTTCAAAATATAATTGTGTAAAATGTATTTTGAAATAGAACATATAACGTAATACATTGGTCTATTTGTAATGTATTTGTAATGTTATATTATGTTATATTGTAAATGTATTTGTAATGTTATATTAATCATACAAAGTTTTATTTTTATTTTTCTAATTTACTGAAAAAATGTGCTTGACCAAAATTTATGGTAAATACCTATTTGGCCGAAGAAGATAAACACACTAGCTCAGTAAAATCGTATTCGCCCTAGAATTTAAGTGTTGCGGTTTAAGTATCGTCCTCGATTTATCGACGTATCGATGGGTGCTCATTTCCAGCGACGGACCACCCGACGAGGACTCAAAGCCGTCATCACGGGACCTGGTCGTCATCGCGTGTGTGCAGATCGCCTTAGCTGTCGTGACCTTACTGAGCGCGGCGGTCTGCGTGAGGATCGACTGGGCCGCCTGACACGAGCCCTCGATCCGCCGCCGCGTGAGTGAGGCGCCCGCCTCCGCTCTCGCCCCCGCTCCCGCCGCCGCTACGCTCGACACTACGCCCGCACCCGAAAGAGAGAGGGGCGGCCGCGTAGCGTGGCTTATATAGGCACGGAACTAGCAACGCATTTGTTAGTTCTTAGAAAGATAACAAAAATCCTCTCCTTCTCAAGAAATATTTTCTTTAATAAAAATAATACGTAATGATTACTAGAGACTAGAGGATATTCACTTTTAGCAGTCAACTTTGATAGTGAATATTTATCTTTGAAGTAGTTAAGGGATAGATTAATGTAATCTAAATATAAATTCATCCTTAATGCACATTTACTCTAAAGTAAATGTTTGTGTGATTAATATTTCATGCATTTCCAAAGACTTTAATAAGTTATTATGCTAATTAAAAAGCTATGATTTTCTATTCGTAGTAAATATTTTTTATATTTATGTTTAAATACGAATAAATAATTAATTATTAAAAATTCAAGTATATCAATTCGATAATGAGTCATAATACATACCATTTGTAAATACCTAAGTTTTATATAATATAATAATTGTATTAACTTATTTTATTGTAATATTGTAACTTTTCAGTGGTAAAGTTGATAAGATTAAAATGTATTCATTCAAGAAATAGCAAATAAATTTTAATTGTAAAATGGTTTTGAGATTTGGTAAATAAATATAGAACTGGAAATCGTCTTTCTTTTCACCGACCTATTTATATTAGTACCTAATATTACGTTTCACACGTCTTTGCTATGAAAACATAAGTCAAATATGTTTTTTTTTAACTAAATTAGAATACGCTTTCAGTTGAAGAAGTTAAATGTTTCTCGAGATGAATTTAAAAACGTGAATTATTGTAGAAAAATTGTCGAATAGCTGCCATGATTAAAATCTGTATTTTCCGGTTAACACGCTTTAATCCACTGACGACCACTGCGTTTTGAGCGTAGCTTGGCACACAATATTCACATTATAGGTTTCATCTTGAGTGCAGTGATTACTTTAGAAACATTGAAATTAATCATAAAAAACATTTTATGCATAAAATTGTGTGTCCAATCTGCCGAGTTCTGAAATCAATGTGGACTTCTTGTCGAAAGCAAAAGCCAGCACGGTCTTAATTGTGATTCCGCACACGCCAAGTATCAACTCGTTACTCGCAAATTAAGCGAGTAATTTTATTGAGCACTCATGGCTCCATAGGGATATACGGGAATTTCTTAAAATAAACCCAACACTTGGTGATCCAGAAAGCATTTTGGGCAAGGGAGAGGTATTCGCAAAAGGTATTGCATAATTCAATCGTTATTCAGTTTGCGGAAGATTCCCGCATGCTGCATATTGAACAAGTTTACGAACTGATCATTAAGTTTACAAACTGTATATTCAGTTAGTCATTTCATTCGATTAGTAAGTTTAACGACGTTTTGCTGGTAACTTCTAAATGTTATACAGTAAAACAAATAGACGTTGAAAGTGGATTCCGTTATCTCTGCTTATGCCTTTGGGGAGACGCGAATGTGTGTATAAACGCGAATAAGATTATGTACGCTGGTAGTCTAGGATGATTTGTCGTGTAAGTGCACGTTGTGTTTCGATAAACTCACCATTGGCTTCGGCGTAGGGGGTTGTGGGTTCGATTTCCACACGGGACAACTATTCATGTGAACCCCAAATAGTTGTTTCCCATCTACGTGTTTGTCCGTGTTACATTTATGTTTGTAAAACGTCTTTACAACACAGGATAATGTTACTCTAATAAAAGGGCTAAGGGGAATGTTTAAAAAAAAGACTGCATATCAGTACGGCTCTTCAGTGTCGCTTTTTGATTCTATATAGCTACGAATTATATCATGAAGACATAACCGACATAGCTCAGAAGATTAAAAACTTGTAGAACCGATATCTGATGAGGAAGAAAGGTTCTCTAGTGGCAGCCTGAAACTGACGCAGCTTGGACTGCAGTGTAGGACGTAGATGAAAGGACGACCTGTGCAAATATGCGGGAAGTCGATGAATGCAGGTGGCTCTGGATCGTGCTTCATGACAGTCTATGGGGAAGGCCGATATTCAGCAGTGGACTTAAACAGGCTGAAACAATGATGATGATGATGATATGTAAGAATTGTCTATTGCGTCTTATATACTCTTTTGAAAGGAGTGTTAAATTTTATCAGATAGTAATTTGGCAAAGGATTTGGTTGTTTTGAAAGATCGAATTGATAAAAGACTGAGAGAAAGGGCCTATTATAATGTCAAGGAATACATTGAGGACAAGGATGTGTGGAAATGACTCTTGCTCTGCACTTGCAAGTCCCCTGGCTCCTGCTAAATTATACTAAAATACTTTTGTGTATATAAAAACATATTAAATATATATATAAATTATTAAATAATTAAAAAAATATATATCACCGCGGAGTTTCTTGCCGGTTCTTCTCTTGCAGGTTTTGTTTAGTGAACCTGGTGTAGTTTTTGACTTTCAATAAGAGCTTAAAATAAGCCTATGTTGAATAAAGAAATTTTGACTTTGACTTTGACTTTGCTGAGAGTTTCAGTTGTGAGAAGTCAATAGGGGCCGTTTTATTACTCACTGTGACGCACAAGAGCGTTTGGGTGTTGAATTTTATAATTTTGTTTCTTTGTTTATTACTATTCACTAATAAAAGATCTCTTTACGAAACGGACTTATTATCACTATTGTTCTGGTCTGTTCTCAAGGGCAAGCGTTAGTAGTTTTAAGACCTGTATTATATAGAGGAGTAGTTTGCAAATTTAATTTATAGTGTTAACCTCTGCATTTAAAATGAAGCAATAAATTGGTAGAAAAATGGACGAAAAGTCCTTCGCCGCTGCAGGAATCGAACCCAAGTCTTCCGGATTCGCACCCAGATTTTAAAAATATTAGAGTAGTCGTAGTTAAGATTGTACACTCTTGGATATTCTCTTTTATTGGATGATGTCATTCGGAGATCAGTGATATAACAGACCGTACTAGATCGTCCTCAAAACATTAATGGATCTACGATACCACATAATATATACTTAGTCAAATACACGCCCCTGTAGTTAAACCTTGTTTGCAGCAAAGCCACACAAAGTGAACAAGGTACTGCCGTATTTTGCGGCAGTCAAACTTTAAGTTATTGCCAAAATTGACGTTCATGTAACCAGTAACGTCACCATTAACCGACACAAATTCGAATTACCAACGTTATGTTCAATAAAGTAATTAAGCTTAAGTATATTGTTAAATGAAATTATGTTACGGATTTTATTTACGCGTTTCAATTAGATTTTTCATTCCTGGCGTTTCTAACCGCTTCCAGAAATCATGATCACGGGGTAGATCTTGCAAACTTCTTTTACAACTTCTTCTTTAAATAAGAAGACATAAATTTGTTTGTCCTATAACGTCATGTTAACGTAAGTTAAATAAATGACTTTTTCAAACGTTACTAATTAGAATCAAAACTTCAAAACACGACTCAAAAATAAAGTTATAAATGACAATAAAGAAAATTATAGTAGGTTTAATAACTATGCATTGTATCTTTATATTTCGCGTGATATTGCACGGTCAATACACATTTGTGTCATCAACATCGAATAAACATTATTGTTTATAAGACGTTTGTTTGTGTAAAAAAGAGTAAAATATGTTTTTGTAATTAATTTTATTATTTCTAATCGAACACCATTAACATTTTTATCAAACTTTTCTAGGCATATCAGTTTTTTTCTTTCCCCTTAAGCATCATTTCACATTTAATGGATCTTGTCATACGAGACAATAATGGACGTGTATCTCCCTTAATAGGCAATTTATTCTCAGCGGTATTTGGCATTACCTTAATTGATTGACGCAAAGAGCAAACAAATAAAGCAACGTTTTGTGAAAATTCAAATTTCAGCGGACGGTTAAATTCTGCCAAGTCAAATTATGCCTTTTACAACATAATTGCTTTATCTTTATCACTTCAGTTTTCGAACTTAAGACAAATAATGCTTTCTCTTAAATATGCGAGATATGAGATGCAATGTAGATTATTTCACTCTAAAAGCTATTTGATTTTGTAAATTACCTGCCATTTTTCTTGACCTATGGCCTACAACTTCTGTTTATCAAATTTAGTAGGGTGATAAGGAATTATGTTTGATGATATAGATTACCCATGTCCATACTGCGTGGCGATTAGAAATTGTTCCGCTTTATGTTAAATGACATATATAACTGAATGTGAAATCGGTCATACATATAGAACGTATGATACGGAAAGAAATAGCAGTCTATAGAATTACACCAATTGTTCTAATTTGAGTGCTTCAGTTTCGATGCGCTAGTGTCATAATATTTGTTGTATGTATTATAATATCATATCTATGTTTTATAATATCAATATTATGTATTGTAATATCATTGGGAATACGATGTTATATTTTAAACAGCAGCGTGAACGGTTCACGTGTTTTATTGAAATTATTTCGATATAACTTAAATCCACAACCTTTCAACGACAGTTCTCGCGGGCTTTCCTCGTGTGGTTCTCAAGAGTCTAATAAGAAAACTTTCATGGTGGTTTGCGTGAATCTAGCATGTAACCTACGTTAGAAATTTGATTTTAATCTAAAGCTACTATTGAAAAGTCTTTATCACCTCTATGGGATCGGCTTAGACCAAGACAAAGCCATCTGACCTAAGCCATATTTAGGAGAGCTCCGATCTGGAACAATTATTTGTGAGTCACACAAATAATTGTCTCGTGTGGAAATAAAACTCATGACCCCGACGCTGAAGCCAGGACTCGACTAATTTCAATCGTTATAATACTAAAAATAAAAAGCTAAGCTGTCATTGCAAATAATTTATGATATAAATTTAAGTACCTACGCCTTTGGAAAGATTTAAAAATGTAATTTTGGTTACTGTGTATTTTTATATTTGGATGAACAACATAA